GGGTGTGGGTGTGTAGGTGCCAACCAGAGGGAAATATCTGATGGGAAATGTGATACTTCAAATGGAAAAGGATTTAATCAAAAGTAGGTAATAAAGATCTGAATATACTTGAAAAAGAAGAGGAAATCACTCACTCACTCCTGAAAACAGAAACACACTAGACACGGAGTGACTGCGTCAGGAGTCACAGAGACATAGATCCTACACTCAAGATCCAGGCACTTAGGTTCTGCCCAATACTGAGGTGGATCCAAGACAGAGACTCCCCTTCATTCCACCATGAGCTGTTTGTGAAAAGCAACAGTAGCCATCCTCTGCTGGGCGAATACTAATGGACACACAGGGTTAAAGAACTAACACAGCAGGACTGGAGAGATGGCTAGATCACTGGCTGGTTTTTCAGAGGGCCTGAGTTCAATCACCAGCCACAGCATTGTGGCTCACAACCATCTGTAATGAGATTTGGTGCCATATTCTGGCCTGCGGGCAGAATACTGGATACACAATAAATAAATAAATCTTAAAAGAAAAAAAAAAAGAACTAACACAGCAGAGTCCATCAGGCTTTGTGGTCAGCCATTGTGGTGACTTAGAGTGCCATGGGCGGAGGCCATGGGGCAAGCTTGGAGAAGAAACACCTGGATGGTTCTTACCCACCAGCAAATGTGGTGCCTCTGCTGGAACTCTGCATCTAATCCACCTATGCCAGAGGACCCTGATGAGATGCCATGTATGACTCTCAGTCATCTGAAGCAAGTTCATCACATGGAACTCACCCAACCATGTCAAATGTAGGTGTTCAGTTTTGCACTGTTGCGAGAAAAAAAACAAAACAAAACAACAACAAAAAACAGAGTCACTCCAGAGTGAATTTTGGCTTTTGCAACAGCAGGCAAACCAGTCTGTAGTTAATTTAATTTGCTTCACAAAAGTCATTTTATTGTTATACATTTTACACCCTATTTAGTCAATTTCACATACCAAATCCTCATATCTGAATCTCCCCAAAGAAGACAAATTGCAAAGCAATTCTAAGTCACAGGACTTCACACTTTTCTGAGTTTTCCCAACAAAGTTTTGCATAGGTTTCAACACTTCAGGGAGAATTAAGACAAGATATACATACTTCAAATAGAGGATGTTCAAAATAAAATGTAGCAATCACTAGAGGCAGCTCAAACCCCAAGTGCAAACACAAGCCAGCAACAATACTCTTTGGTAACTTCCCCTCCACAACCAGGAGGGGGCAGCACCTGTTCCCACTGACAGTGGCGCTCGTGGGAGGTTGATGTGAATTAGCTCAGAGCACTCAAAGCAACCCTGACTGGTTCAAATGAAATGCCCATCACTGATACTGAGGACAAAGAGCTGCTCATAATTTCACAATGAAAGAGACACTATAGCCATGGGACACACTGGCCATGACAATTCACAACGGAGCAAAACACAGAAGAGTTGGGATAGGAATATCCCCTTAGAAATGGATATGATGAAATACTTGGGACATATCCACAGTCAGGGAGCTCTATAGTAAATATATTCTCATTATTTCTTTGAAGTTAATTACATGCATAAAATGTATGTATCACGGTCAGGACATACTCTAGGGAACTTTTTATTTCCTTTTATGAAAGAGGGCCTGATATAGCCAAGAATTTATGAGGTAGGGCCTGATATAGCCTAGGATAACC